CTCACTACTTTGCCGCCGTTATATTTGACAATACCAATATACGTTTCGATATATAGAATGCAACCGTGCTGAGGTGGGGCTTTGATTTTATATATATATATATATATATAAAACCTACATACAGATACTGTATACATATCTCTCTATATAGATTTGTATACTGTATAGACTTGTACCACAATAAACTTCATGCATAGAATTTCTTGTTTTTGTACTTGGAATAACTTGCAAACAGCTCTATAAGTTGGAGTCATTCCACTTTGTAAGGTGTGCTTTGCTTGATTTGCTGTGATTATTGAATACACGCCACAAAGCCATGAATTGGGAGGGAGTGGCAGAATAACCCTGCATTGTGCAAATGGTGTGTTGGGGTAAGAGTGGGCCACTACTGCCGCAGGCACATGAGAGTCACAAGCACAGTGCATGCAGGTAAGGCTGCACACACTTATGACAAAAACAGTTCCACTTTTTTTTTTCCTGACTACCGGTAATTTGTTAAGGAGTGAACGCTTACCATTTGCATTCAGTGTAAAACTTGACATAGAAAATCTGTCTGAGTGTTAATTACTACAAACTGAAATTTCACAGATTAAGTAACCACACATAAATACACCTATTATTTACCTTGGTGTGCTCTAATCAAATCACAAATTAACATCAATTGGTGGATCCAAATACTCATGAGTCACTTATGTCATATTTCTATCTAACCTGAGCAATGTATCGGTATGTAAACATTTCTTCATGGTTGTATACATTATCTTTAGTGTCTTCTTACACATCAGTGGTTTGGCATGCTTGTATAATTCAAGTGTTATCATCAGGTGTGACATTATCACACCAGATAAGCTTGCCATTGTGGTGAATGTTCAGGCGCAAGCTTTTTGCTTTTAGGATCCTCAGTAATGATTGTGACCTCCGTGTGCTACAACATATTGCTTTTTTTTTTTTTTCCAATGCCGACAAAGCAACCAGTGTCTCAGACTCGGCATACCGGTCGCTGTACAATTGTGCAACTCTTAGTCTACATGTTTCGGATACATAAATGAAACAGCTGGCTAAGTCCACGCAAACAAGTAGTTTCCAGAAACTATTATTTTATACTTTCATCCGTGTTGTACAGTATGTCACAGAAAACAGACTTTTCCAATAACAAAACTGAAAATTCGGCTCCACTTTCAGACCACATGTATGATTCCTGTTTTCATCAATTTTCCATGCTTTTGGGTAGGCTTTAGGACATATACATTAGTTTGGGGTTAGCATGCGCTTGACTCCAGCAAATGCATTTTGGATGAACAAAGGCCATACTTGTAGACCGAGACTTTCCTTGTTTCTTTTTACCCTGGTGTTTGTTTTTCATAAATAAATATCCTTTATGTCAACTTTGGCACACAATACAGAAAAGTATTTGGCTGCACAATCAATACACCGAAGTAAAAATGAAAGCAATTATAACTGGGTCCAACTTTGAAGTGACAACAGCTTCCACTCTTCTGGTATGATTGGAGTTGTCTGTGAGATTATTTATTTTTTTATTTTTTTTGTCCATTCCTCCAAAAGAACATTTGTGAGGTCAGACATCACTTAAGTTGGACCTGAGAGAGGGCCTGATGGCTCGTTATCTCTGTTCCCAAAAGTGTTTAATGAGATTGAAGTTGGTGTTCTGTGCAAGTTATTCAACACAAAACTCATCCAACCATGTTTTTATGGACCTTCCATTGTGCAATTATGCGCTGGGGCACACACAGCCATGCTGGGGCAGAAAATGGCCTTTCCTCAACTGTAACCACAAAGTTGTAAGTGTAGAATTGTCTAAAAGGTTTTTGTAGGATGAAAATCTGATTCGGGGTGATATAAGGAATCTAGCCCAACTCTTGATTGATTCGTGAATTAATAAGTGTGTCTGGTAACTTTTCTTGATATCGTGCATCTCTCAGATGGTGGATCAAGCCAGTACAGGGAGAACAGAAAACGACAGAGGAGGCACAAGAGCAGTGCCTATATTAGGTGGTGAAATACATAACAAAACAAGGCTATATAAAAAAGGTGCACAGAGAGGTAAATGCGGACCAAGAGGACGGGGGTTGTTCTAGCTCATGCTGTTTTTGTAACAGGTAGTTAATCACTTGCGGTGTGATTCTCATTCATCAATGTGTGCCAGCGCTCAATCCTCTTGTCTTTGTTCTTCAAACACTCATACCAGTGTTTTAGCCTTTCTCCTTTGGCAGTGATGCCCAGCTGACAGCCACCTGGAGGGATGGAATTAAAGGGTGAGGGCATGGCAGTAAAGTGACAGCTCAATTCTTTTTACTTTCCATTAGATTTTATCAATGCAATCGTGATCCAATATTTACCAATGTAGTCATTGGACTTCCCAATATCATAATCCCACACGGAGACATCTAAAGTCTTCTTAGCCAGTTCGCTGTGTTTAATATCAAAGCTGAATTCCTGAGACGGAATACAGACACACATTACCAAATACTGTGTTTGTCATATCCAAATAGTGGTCAATAATCATCTGCGAAGATCATTTTTTTTCACTCAACATATTTGTATTTTACCAACAATTCTCCAACCAACCTCATTGAACTCTGGGTTTAAAGTCCTTTTCTTGATCTGAGTTTTGCACTTGCCCTTCTTCCCCATGTCGGGTTTCAGAACTCTGTCAATGATAGAAGCAGTTTTCCAGTGTCAAATTTAAAAACTTTCAATAGCAACATAAAGCTTGTCCAAAACACTACAGCTGTGGCAAATTGCACATTTACACATAAAACTGCCCTTATGGTAGACTGCAGAACAAAAAATGGAGAGAAAATGGATGAAAAACATATCTGCGAGAGACTTTCCAACTGACTTTGGGGTACAACCCGAACTGGTCGCCAGCCAATCGCTAATGAACACAATTTGACCCATTTAAGCATCTCCTTATTTGCAGTGCAATACGTACATTTTGACATAGGGGTCAGAATATCCATTCGCATCCATGGCAGCCAAATGAACACAGCGCACCACACCCACGAGGAGGCGGTTCAGCTGGGTGTTGTACATGAGGGAGATAAGAATGCGACCACGTTCCTCTACCTCTCCACCATCTTTTGCAGACTAGAAAACACAGCAAGAGGGTACAGATATCATAGGTGTCGTAAAAAATAAACTTGGGGGGAATGTGTTGCATTTAGTTATTTTTGGGAAACAGAGGGACACCTCATCTTCATAGAGAGCAATGCCTCGAGCTCCACCTGCTGTCGCTGTTCTCTTTGTCTGTGACAAAGACATCACATCAGTGGTTCAGTTAGGGATTCAGAAAACCGATGCAAGACTGCAAATCATCATCACTCACTGGAACAACTCTCTCCAGACACACGTTGAAATTTCTCTTCTGGTTTATCTTCAGTTTCTTCAGTGCCACCCGTGTCTCTCCGATGAACTCGTTGTGCCCAAACTTGTCCTCATCACAGACAGACAGCCTGCGCAAAACCAGTGCCAGGACACCATACAATATTGAGGACGCCATTGAAAACAGACTGGCTATGCAATGTGAGTCTGGTTAATCTGAGTGTGACTACTCTCTGTATCCACCTGAGGGTCTTGCGCTGCATGTCATCGTCCGTCAGGCCATGATAGGTGAGTGTCTCATTCCACGCAGGGTTGCGAGTGTTCCTCAAGGTCTTCGTGCGCAGCTTTGTTGACTGTTAATTAAGAAGAAATCATAACAGGAGACATAATGAAGGCTGCAAGAGCTCATGTTGGCTGCTTTCATGTTTTAGCTCATTTTTCTATTAAGTGCCTGCATGGAGAAAACAGTAGACATTTTCATGACATGTTGCTTTCTGTGTACCACACCTTTTTTGGAATGAATGAATTTCTTTCTAACCACAAGGTGTCAGGCCTGAGCTTACAGAAGATTAGAAACCCCATAGTCATAATTCCCTCAATTTTTTTCCCTCATCTGGATAATAATAGGTGTGCTGTGCATACTTTATAATACGTATTTTGTTTTTTTTTTTCTTTAATTCAACCTTGCTAGCTCCTGGCAGCAGATGAAGCTTGACATAAGGATCTGCCAGTCCATTTGAATCCATAGGTTTCAAGCCCTGGGGATGAGAAGAAGAATTTATGCAAAGGGTGTTGATAAGGAGCTTTTCGGGGACATGTTGAGTTCAAATAACATATTAATAAAATAATAAATAAAAATATTACTACAACAGGATTCAAAATAACTTGAAAAGAAACATTCAGTAACTATGTACGACAACTCTCGAATGAACACATCAGACACCTGAGTCTGTTTTTCTGAGCTTCATTACTACATGAGAGGAGTTGCCAAACTACAAACATGCACTGATTTGCATTTTGCCACATAGAAAGGAGGTGTGCTTAATCAATTATGACCATAAGATAAGATAAGATAAGATATCCTTTATTTGTCCCACACTGGGGACAAATAACTGACCAAAATTCCAATTACTGACCATAACGACCTTACATTTGTGTAGAATTGTCCCTTGGTGCAAGAATTGAATGAGGAGAGCCGTACGTACCTTTGCCTTAAGGATGCTACAATGAAGGCTGTTGCTTTCCTGGTCATACATCAGACTGAACTCCAGAGAGCCCAGGGTGGCTGAAAGAGACCAATCAAGACAGGTCAGCACACTTCAGTGTTTTTTTTAATGCTTTTGGGTTCAGGTTTGAAGAGATTTATGTATGCTCAATGTTTTTGTGGCCTCCCATGCAGAAGCTATCACTTTATTGACTGATTGATATGAAAAGGGACTACAGAGACAGGGAAGGTGCTTTTAAAAAAATTAAAAAGTAACATTTTGCTTTGGAATGCAAGTTTGAGAGAAAGCTCAGTCCTGCCCTGACAGAAAACAATCACGTCATCAAACTTAAGCATAAGTGAATGATGGTGGAATCTCATCAATAACATAATTTAGGGCATAAGTGAATGATGGTGGAATCTCATCAATAACAATGGTGATGCATAAAATGTTTTGTTACACATGTATGATGATTGAGTTTAGCATTTTACAATCCACTTTGACCTAGTTGTTGAGTAGAGATTTTGCTTCTTGGATACCTTGTAGTGCTTATTTCAGCTGCTTCACATTTCCTTTTTTTGTAGAATAACTCATTTTAAACATTTCCCGCATACTGTAGTTTCAAAGGTAAATTCCAATTACTATGGGCTTAATGGGTTTTTTTAAACTCCAAAACAGCAAGCAATTTGAAAAAAATTACTAACTCATTTGAAATTTGTGACAAAAATTGTCTCCTTGGCGAACCAAAACCTGTCAGTCAGTGATTCCCCAAAGAAAAGAGGGTGCACGTGATGTACTCACTGGCTTCATCAGAATCATAGTCATTGACCTCCTCTTCCTCTGCGGCGGGGGGAGGTTGATGTCGGGCAGGAGGAGCACTGTAAGCGGCGGGCTGCCTTCTGTCCTCTCGTATAGCAGAAGGTGCTCTCTGCTCTAAAGAGACTGCACCAGAAGAGTAAGCACCTCCTTCACGCCCCACCTGACCTACAAACACACATGCAGGATATCAATTTTGCTTAAAATTGAGGCCCAATAATTAGGGCGTGTATAGGAGAATGGGGCCCAGCTGCCCCTCACCCTGTGGTGCCATAGACGGCGTCACAACGGGCTGCGGTCTGGAGCTCTGAACGGGCACCATCCTCTTCATCACCACGGGACTTCCATGCTCTGCGTCTTCGGGGCCAGCACTGCCTGTGGCCATGCGTACAACTGATGGCTTCGGGGCCACAGGTGGATAACCAGCACGACCCTTGAGTTCTAAAAATGAGCATAATACAGTAAACACGCAAACACACACTATTCATGAGGGAGACGGTATATTCGCACTTCTGGCTCTCACTGCAGCAGAATATATAATAACTCTCCAGTCTCTCTGGATGCTTTGGATGTTGCAGCTTTTTGTTCAAAGGCATTGACCTACATTCGGTACAACAAGCTGCAGCAGTCAACTACAGTGCATACATGGAACAACTGTATAGTTCAGGGTCTTTCTATTATCAGGAAGTCATGTGACAAACTGTCCCATGTACTGCACTGAGCAGTACTCCTGGTGAAAATGCATTGAGGTAGGTGGAGGTAAGAGCGTGTTAAAATTGTTAAAGCTGACAAGTAGGAAAAAGTAACTTGATAGGCACTCTTTAAAAGTGAGGTGACTGTATTCAGAAGACTTTGTATGTAGAATAACATGGAGAAGAAGCTCTCACAGAAAAGTCCACTTATTGTAGGTCCGCAACAAGAAACTGCAGCTACGAATTGATCATATTCACCAGAATTGGATGACAGAAAAAACATTGGCGGGCTAAAAGATTTCTACAAACACTGTTGGATCGTAGGGTCAGCATTTGCCCGTGAAAAAATGTAAAGCATGAGTCTTTCCTGCCTAAAAAAATGAAAAGGGCAAATTCTATGGCAAGATATATGTGAAATAGATACGTAATTTGCTTTAGTGTACCTCTCAGGCCTTCTCTACACCAAACCGGTGTAGAGAAGTTTTTTCCCAACCAGGAGTACGCGAGCACATTGCAGCGGGTACGGAGAAAATTTTATATTCAAGAGACACAGGAAAAAAAACATGCCAACTCCACTCTAGATCCGTATTCAATAGATTATCTTTAAAATGTGATGGAAAGTGACATTCACATCATGTGAGATGCTATCATGTCAACACTGACTAACCTCTCAGAGCAATTGTTCCAGCACTTTACTCAATTTGTCATCAATATTTAAGGCAGATTTGAAGGCCAGAGGCATTTCAAATTTACGACGGTTCATGTCAAGCAGGACTATTTTGGACAATTAGCATAAAAAGATCAATTGTCAAGTCTTTTCCCAACCAGGATCAAAACAGAGAATACTGAGTAAGTGGCGCGGCATCATGAATTTTAAGGTTAAACAAAATGTAGAGCGAAATCTAACAAATTGCTCATTGAAAAACATTGTGTCTTCAGATTTGTTGAATTTTATAAATAGATACTGTCAAATTCAAATAGTAGTGGGGGAAAATGACATTTCATAAAATGTAGTCAACACCCACTGAAGTATTAAAAACACTTGGGTGCCACAAATCCACTGAAAATTTAAATGTAGTGGGAAAAACTTCTAGGCACGTGATCTGTGTATGATAACTTGCCTGAAACCTGGTTACCAGTTGCAGGAGGCTGACTCTGACCTGAGAGAAAGAAAACGTACAATTGAAAATGTGTGTTGCGGGATGTACGAGTAGGCCTACCCCAAGCTAAAAGATGAATAATGACCAAAACGGACTAAAAGCACCGGGCTACTGAACGCACCAGGTTGTTGATGTTGACTTGCCTCCTCCCTCGGTTTGGAGGCTGCTTCCTGGGCACGTTGATCTTTCGTCTTAGATAATGGCATGGGTGCAGGAAGGAATTGTTTGGGAAATCCTTTAAAGAACCAGGCACCAGACCTCTTCCAAACCTGAAAAAAAACTGTGTTACGGGTTTCTTAAGGGTAAGTTCTTCATTTCCTAGCAGGAAACACTCACCTCTCGCTGTTCTCTGCAGATTTTGCACAGCCACACAGCACGGGGCCTACTGCTGCACTGGGTCCCACACTTTGTACACATGTTCTACGCAACAAGAAAATTGATAGAGCCCATTGCTTGCCATTTATAGTATTATTACAATTAAAACATTAATTATAAGATGGTGGAATGTTGATTTAAATCAAACAGCTGTATAATTTTGTTCCTACGATTTGGAGTCACTAATTCCCATTCGTGTGGCAACATTGAGAGACAAGCACTGTACAGTTTCATTGCTTCAATGCGAGTGCATTGGAACACTTAGTGAACGACCAGTGAGGTCGCTATGGTGACGTCCCGTTGCGACTGTCACCCTAAGAGGGCACAGCGTACAGTATCCGGAGATTTCTATCATGCGTTATGCACTGAATTGAGTAATACTATCTAGTTTTGTAGTAGAATTAGTATCTCTCAGTATTCACATCACACCAATTCCTAAGGAAACTGCCACTTGTGGTTATTTCAGCTCTTACCTTTTTGCAGTCCTCACACACTACGGAGCTGACCCCAGGTGTGCCCAGCTGCTCCCCACACAGCACACAGCGAGACAGTCCATCCCCACACACAGTCTTCTTCATGTCATCCAGGCGGTTTATTAAGCGCCTACAGAGGCACACCTGACTTAATTGACAATTGTCTTAAAATGACTTAAAGTGTAATTATCACTGTGCAATGAACACATTTCCATGCACTGGAGAGTTTCAGTGTCTCACCCAATCCTCTCTTGCTCCATGGCCTCCATTTTCTCAGCTCGTGCTATAACACCATTTATAATTTCTTTTTCTTCATCTGTCAACTCTGGAGCAGGACCAGGACCAGGGCCAGGCTGCATGGTCCAATTACCCCTGGCATTCGAAAAGTGGGCGGATGGACAGACAGAGACAGACAGACAGATTTTTTTTAAATGCCGTAACACACACGTCACACTTAATGTTTGTAACAACTAAACTGAGCACACCTGCCTTGACTAAACTAATGCAACATGCGCAATGTAAACATACTTCTCATATTAGTGTACAAACTACAAAACCTTTCCTTCTTTACACTTCGAGGGCACAAAAATACAGTGAAAGGGAAGATGAGACAGATAATTGAGGTGTTCTGTACTTACTGCTCTTTATCACTGTGTCACAGATCACACAACGGCAGGATGTGGGAGGAAACAAAGCATTAGTTTTTGGTGATCGTACAGCCAAATGACAACAGCATGTGCTGATAATCGTGCTCACCTCGCGTGCATGGCTCTCTGCCTGTCGTTGGGCACCCAGCGATCTGAGCTGCTGCTTATCACTGTCAGTCATAGCAGCACTAACACATTCTACAAGACAGATGAACGCAACATGAAAGTCTAATAAGACTGAAATTCTAGCATGAATAGGTTGGATTCTGTTGTGCTTAGTTAGTAGAAAATTAATAGTGTGTGAGGGAGTCGGTATAGAGGCTTAATAAGTATAGTTGAGTCATTAATAGAATGATTAGTTCTGATTTAAAACCTCTAGTTCGCACATTTAGCCATTTCATTGTTTTTAGCGAGTGCTTACGCTGCACTGACTTAACTGCAATTACAGGTTGCTCTGTCATCAGAGAGGACATTTGGTCTAAATGGGACAGAACAGTGCAGCGCTGTAATTGGCAATCCACCAGATACATTTCATTGCTACAGATTGATGAAATGAATGAGTCAAAACTGAATACTGCGGACATCATATTTATGACCACCACAATGGACATAAATCAATTCAACTTCTAAACACTTAGTTGTTATTTTTGTAATTACTTTTACATTAATCTGAATACTTCAAATGAGTCCACGGGTACCAATTGCAAGATACGCACATTTGCAGGGTTCATATTTACAGTCCAGTCAATGGCTTTCTTTCCCCCTATTTAATCAGTTGCATTAGGGCAAGGGTGCCCAAACTTTTTTGACCGAAGATCTACTTTTTGATTAACCAACCTCCCGGGATTGACCCGTTACCGCGCACGCGCGCATACGCACGCACGCACGTACGTACACATGCATGCCATGATGAGCAACAGGCTGACGCTGAGGCATGCGATGCTCTTTTGCAGCCTGTTAACGATCGTAGCTCACGCGTACCGTTTTAAATTGCCCAATTCAACAAGATGGTCAAAAACTAGTAAAGAATGGAAAGAAGCAAGTAAAGAGGTCGCCCAGTCTGACATTTAAAGTGATCACATTTGATGTCAATAGCTTTGGACGGGAAGCATGTAATACATTTCTGTCTTCGAGGAGGAGAAGAAACACCAAGTATACCACAAGCTTTTTAACCACTTGAGGCAAATTACAATAGACTGTCTCCACCTTAATGTCACACTAAGTCTTGCTAATCTACAGTCATGGCATCATAAGGGCCAAGGTTATAAATGCAATGAATCTGCCTCATCTCCATGTTAAAAAGCAGTGCGACATAGGGCCAGAAACACTGTTAAAATTTACACAATATGATGATATGGCGGCGGCCCGGTAGTCGAGTGGTTAGCACGTCGACTTCACAGTGCAGAGGTACTGGGTACAATTCCAGCTCCGGCCTTCGTGTGTGGAGTTTGCATGTTCTCCCCGTGCTTGCGTGGGTTTTCTCCGGGTTCTCCGGTTTCCTCCCACATTCCAAAAACATGCATGGCAGGCTGGTTTAACACTCCAAATTGTCTATAGGTGTGAGTGTGAGCGCGAATGATTGTTCATTTCTGTGTGCCCTGCGATTGGCTGGCAACCGGTTCAGGGTGTCCTCCGCCTACTGCCCGAAGACAGCTAGGATAGGCTCCAGCACCCCCCGCAACCCTTGTTGAGGATTAAGCGGATCAGAAAATAGATGGATGGATGTTATGAAAATTGAACTCTAAAACATTAATCTCCCATGTAGCCAGTGACTCTTGCATTTTATGGTATTTGACTATATTAAGATAGTGGAAGTTTGGCCGAGCGGCAATGTCCCAAGCCCTATGTTTTTTTTCTTCCTTTTTTTTTTTTTGCCTTTATATCTTGCTTTTTATTGCACATTACAGCAACAATGGCACAGTGTCAGATTACTGCCCGAAGAAAGCTGGGATAGGCTCCAGCACCCTCCGCGACCCTAGTGAGGATAAAGCGGTTTGGAAGATGAATGAATGATGATAAGGCAGAAAATATCGGGGAGGGTACAGTACCATGATAGTACAGTATTTAAAGTAACCTCAGAACCATCCTTATTCTAAGTACATGCCCAAATATACTGTAGTGCTTGTCGATGGTGACATCTAGCACTAAAGCACAACATACAAATGCAATAGATAACAAAATGTACATTTAGCATGTACACTCAAGTGCAAAACAATAAACATGAAGTCATCCATGCACCAATTTCCTGTACAGAATTTCATATGGGGGAAGAAGAGAGGAATTTAGCAAGGCATTTATGGGCCGAAGAGGATAGTCAATTGATATCTACATCTGTACTCCCCGAGCACATTTTACGCACAAAGCATCTGTCAGGCATTTTTAGAAACATGGTCATGCCCTCATCTTAGTTTCTTGAAGTGAATGCAAGAGTTACCGGCACGAATTGATGCGACTTTGAAAAGCAGGTGTATGACTCATTACTGCAGGCTCACTGAAAGCACAGAGTTCAGTCAGCATTTTCTTTACAAGATGTTATTGTTCACATGTGGTATGAAAATAGGCAGGGTGACAACAATGCATGCAGGACAATGATGGATTGATCCAATATGGATCGTTATGGATCTTACAGCTGCATACCACACAGGGATGAAAAGACATTAGGCCCAGACTATTCAGAACAGAAATAGTGTTGACGGCTTTTGGCAGGAAAATCATTTTAAGTGTGAGCAGGGGAGTAACCAGAAATTATTTCTGGTTGGCCAGGTTGACAAATCGCCTCACTGAGTGGTGGCATAGCCAACCACATGCACGCGCACATCATGCTCACATTTCCAGAACAGTGCCCGTCACACTCATAATCAAGCAGGAACAAGTCTAAGTAAAAATCTACATTCAATACAATCATACAATCATGCTGAGCTTCATTAACTTGATGATGGTATTTTCTTTGCTTATGAGTACTATCTCATTGTCTACTTCTATCTCTTGTACTGATTTGACACAGACGGCCGACAAGATTTTGCACACTGTGATCAACGGCTCAGTTATTCAAATCACATCAAAAAAGGACATTGAAACAAAAATCTCTTAATTATTCACAATTCTAAATGTAAATAAGAGCAATAAAAAAATAAATGAAATACAGGCTTTTCCTGCTGTGCATGTGTTGGTCTCTCACACTTGCTGTGTAAGTACCATGGTGCATTCAGGGTACTTTTACAAGTTTGGGAACTTGTGCACGAACGCACTTGCTCGACACGAATCGTTTTTCTTCGACAAAGTATCATGTTTTCAAGATGGAGAGGAGCCAAAATCGTAATCACGATTACATTTCAATTAATTACCCAGCCCTACCTAGTCACAGGTATCAAAATCTTCTCCTATGTCAAGTTGACCAGAGAGTGACAAGGAGTGACCGTGGTCACGCCTGACCACTAGCTTCACCTCTGAGTGTGAGGGGGATTTTATTCACTGTTGGCACACAAACAACAAACTATTAATCTGATACTTTATAAAACTTGCTGGAAGGAAGTTGCATATACAGTACTGTGAGTGGGGGAGGGGGGAGCAAATCTATTAAAGAGAGCAAAAACTTTGTTCTCTTTGATTTTCCCATAAAATGTCAACTTTTCCAAACAGACCACTGTACTGTTCAAGGTGTACCATTCAGCTCATATTGAATGTTTCCTAAAGAAATAGTACACACACACACACACACACACACACACACACACACACACACACACACACACACACACACACACACACACAACACCGCGTTCAAAGTAAAAAGATACATTTATTTGCAGATCAGCGACTGACAACTCAAAATGACAAGGCCTGAGTTCAGTCTCTTGCCCTGTTTGATAGCAAGGTCTTTGTGATATGTCTACACAATGAATGGAAGTTGGGCTGGCTCCAGCCAGTGTCTCCATTCCTCTAAGGCAACCTTAACAACCAGCAGCTCCCGGATGTCCATGTCATAGTTTCTCTCTGTGTGACTCAGACGGCAAGACAGGAAAGCGCAGGGATGCATCTAGCCATCCATCTCAGACCGAATCGCATCAATTCCCTCATTCGATGCCTCCACCTCCACCACAAATTTCCGCTGTGAATATGGCAGGGTGAGAATGGGTGCTGATGTGAAGCGATGCTTGAGGGTTTAGAACGCCCTCTGCCGCTTCTGGAGACCAGTGGAAATGAACCTGAGGAGAGGTTAGAGCATGGAGAGGAGCAGCAATTTGGCTAAAATTCCTAATGAAGCGCCCGTAAAAGTGGCAAATCCCAGAAACTGTTGCAGCTTCTTACGGCTGTCAGGTGTAGGCCATTCGGTTACAGAGCTCACTTTGGCTGGATCCATCTGCACCCTCCCAGAGGACACAATGAACCCCAGGAAGGAAACCGTGTCAGCATGGAACATGCTTTTCTCGGCCTTGACATATAGGTGGAGACGGTGGAGGACCTGGCTCACATGATGCTGATTGTCTCGATCTGTGAAATATATTAATATGTCATCAAGATAAACAGAGGCAAACTGGTCCAGGAAGTCTCTGTGCACATCATTGATCATGGCCTGGAAGAACGTTCGGCCAAAGGGCATGACTAGGTATTTCTAATGACCTGAGGGAGTATTATATCCGTTCTTCCGCTCATCACCTTCTCTAATTCGGATGAGATGATATGCATTTCGTAAATCCAGTGTAGTGAAAACAGTGGTCTGCTGAAGCTTCGCAAAGACAGATGACAGAGGGAGTGGATAGCAATTCTTGATAGTGATTTCATTGAGAGGACTGTAGTCAATGCATGGTCTTAAGGACCCATCCTTCTTGCTTACAAAGAAGAATCCAGCTCCTGCAGGAGACGAAGATGGTCGGCTGACCCGCCTTCAGAGAAGACTCAATGTAGTCCTTCATGGCCTGTCATTTGGGGACTGACACAGAATACAGTTGCCCCTTGGGAATGGTGGATCCTGGAATTAGATCTATTGTCATATGGTCTATGACAAAGCTGGGTTTTTGTAACCAGATGAGATGAGACAGCACTTATAATGGTGGTAGCCCTCACCTGAGTCTTGTCTTGCAGACACTTGCTCCCACAGTCCCTTCCCCACCCCAGAATCTTGCCGGTAGGCCAGTCTGCGTTAGCTCTTATCACCCCTGGAGTCAATTAAAGCCTTCAATTCTGTGATGGTAGCTTGG